AACAAATATGCAAGGACCTAGAATTAGAAAACCAAAAGGGAAGAACATGCTCAATATCTGAAACTGAAAGAACTCAAGGAAAAATTCAAGCCTTGAATTTCAATTTTGACAGATTTTATAGACAAAATATTGAATGCTACAGGAAGCATCAAAAGAAGATGGAAAGAATACACAGTCACTGTATCAAAAGAACTCATTGACAGTCAACCATTTCAGGAGGTAACATATGAACAAGAACCAATGTTCCTTAAAGAAAAGGTTTAAACTGCACTGAATGCTTTAGCCAAAAACAAGGCTCCAGGAATTGATGGAATAGCCATTGAAATGTTTCAGCAAGCTGTAGAAGCACTGGAAGCACTCATTCCTCTATGCCAGGAGTTTGGAAGACAGCTAGCTGACAGAGAATGTTTGCAACATTATATTACAGGCAACTGCCAGAAGTTCAGGCCGATTCAGAAGAGGACGTGGAACAAGGGATATCACTGCTGATATCAGAAGATTCTTGGCTCACAGCAGAGAATACCAGAAAGATGTTTACTTGTGTTTTATTGAATATTGAAAGGCATTTAACTTTGTGGATCATAATAAACTATGGATAACCTTGAGAAGAAGGGAAATTCTAGAATACTTCACAGTGTTTATGCAACACTTGTATGTAAATCTAAGGCAGTTGTGCGAACAGAACAAAGAAATAAATACTACATGGTTTAAAATTGGGTTACGTATATTCTCTTATAGAATATAAAGGTATATCAAGGTTGTATCCTTTCACCATACTTGTTCAATATGTATGCTGAGCAAATAATTAGAGAAGTTGGATTATATGAAGAAGAATGTGGCATCAGGATTGGAAAAAGACTAATTAATAACATTCAGTATGCAGATGATACACCTTCCTTGCTGAATGTGAGGAGGACTTGAAGCACTTGCTGATGATGACCAAGGATTGTAGCCTTCAGTATGGATTACAACTCAATGTAAGGAAGACCAAAATCCTCAGAGTAGGCCATTAGGTACCATCATGATAAATGAAGAAAAAGTTGAAGTTCTCAAGGATGTTATCTTACCTGTATCCACGCTCCATGCTCATGTTAGCTGTCGTCAAGAGATCAAAAGATGTGTCACCTTAGGTAAATCTGCTGCACAACACCTCTTTCGAGTATTGAAGAGCAAGGATATTTCTGTAAGGACTAAGGTGCACTTGACCCAAGCCATGGTATTCTCCATTGCATCATATGCATGTGAAAGTTGTATATTGAATAATGAGGATTGTAGAAGACTAAATGCATCTGAATTATGGTGCTGGAGAAGAATATTGAAAGTACCATGGACTGCTAAATAAACAAACACATCTGTATTGGAAGAAGAACAGTGCTCCTTAGAGTCAAGGATGGCAAAACTTTGTCTTCCCTGCTTTGGACATATTGTCAGGAGAGACCAGTCCCTGGAGGAGATCATATGTGGTAAAGTGTAAAGGTGGCAAAAAAAGAGGAAAGCCCTCAGCAAGATGCACTACCTAGTGCTGTGTCAATGAGCTCAGGCACAGGAATAATTGTGAGGATGGCGCCTAAGGTTACAATGAGACAGAGCTGACTCAATGGCACCTAACACAATTTTCTCAGTTTCAATTCCTAGAATCAGGGTTTTCACATTTCATTAAAATACACTTTTCCTTCTTGAGCTGCCCTTTGAAATCTTCTACTGTGTTCTTTTAATTCACTATTTCTCCCATTTATTTTAGCTACTCTACATTTAAGAGCAAGTTTGAGAGTCTCTTCTGACATCCATTTTGGTCTTTTATTTCTTTACTGTCTTTTTATGACCCTTTTCTTTATTTGTGTATGTTTTTTTTTGGGGGGGGGTCATACCACAACTTTCTGGTCTTTGATGACCAGAAATTAGTCTTCAATGCATAAGTATATTCTTGAAATGGTCTCTAAACTCATTGTATATATTCAAAGCTGTATTTCAGTCCTTGTGGATTTATATTAATTTTTTCAGCTTGAACTTGTACTTGCATATGAGAAATTGATGGTCTTTTAATCAATTATCCTCTTGCCTTGTTCTGAGAAATGAGTTTCAATTTCTCCATTGCCTCTTCCCATACCTATGGTCATTTGGATCCTGCGTATTCCATTCATGGCATTAAGTTCAACCCTACTTTCAGGTGGCAGTTCTTTCCCAGGCATATTTTGGGCAACTTCCAACCTGAAGGGCTCACCGCGGGCACTACATCAGACAAATGCTCTGCTGTTATTCACACGGTTTTCACAGAAATAGACACCAGGCACTTTTTCCTTATCTGTCTTCATCTTGCAGCTCTACTGAAGTCTGCCCATTATGGGTAGCCATTTTGGAATTTATAATACTGGTGGTATAGCATACAATATCATAGCAACATGTAAGCCATCCCATTGTGACAAACTGACAGGTGAGTTCAGTCATTTCACTAGGTGGAATATGATCAAGAATTAATCCTATTGAAAGAAAAAGTCAAAGCAGCACCAAAAACACTGGCACAAAAGAAATGTCTAGATATTGAGACCATTTAAGATGTTTCAACAAACAAATGCAATGCTGAAAGCATTCATTCAGTTATTACATGACATTTTGAAGACTCGGACAGATGGCTTGAAGCGATTCCACAGATGTGTGATCCAATTTAATTCAGAAACTCTTGGACAATGTCATTAATATTACCTCCCCTGCTAAAACAAAAACCCAAACTTCAAACACTGCCTTTTCAAACAAGTCCATTTCAACTTATAGTGACCCTTTATGGTAGAACTTCACCTTTGAGTTTCTGGATTGATGAGACTTTAAGCACAGAAAGGGTTATAGTTTTGATATGAAACAACTGGTGAGTTGAAGCTGCTGACTTTCAGATTAGTTGTCCAGCATGTGACACACTATGCCACCAGGGCTCAATTATTAATATCACACACAAGGAAAACATTGCTCAAGAAAATCCATAAACAATTAAAGCAATATTTCAGTACGCATATCCAAAATTTAAGATGGATTAGAAAGAGGTTATGGAATGAAGAATATCATTGCTAATGTCCTATGAGTCTTGGATGAAAGCAGAGAATACCGGAGAGATATTGACAAGAGCTTTATTGACCACAAAGGCTCTGTGGATAAAAATAATTATGAATATCATTAAGAAGAATGAGAACTTTGATACCTCTGAGAGATTGTAACCTACAGGTAGAAAATCTTTTCTAAAGAAAGGGAATTGTTTCTCCTGTTTTGTCCTCTCTGGTGCCCCCTCCCTCCCTCGTCATCATGTCAGTGTTGTCTCATAACAACCCTACAGGACAGGGTAGAACTAACTACACCCGTAGGTTTCCAAGACTGTAATTCTTTACCAGAGCAGAAAGCCCTGTTTTTACCTCATTGAGAAGCTGGTGTTTTTGAACAGCTGACCTTAGCTGGTTGTTGCTGTTGTTGTTGTTAGTTGTCATCAAGTTGGTTCATACCCATAGCAACCCTATGCACAATAGAATGAAACTCTGATCTGCCCTGAGCCATCCTCACAACTGTTCCCAAACCTAGGTCATTGTCGTAGCCATGATGTCAATCCATCTCCTTGAGGATCTTCCTCTTTTTTTTCTGCCCCTCCACTTCACCAAATATGATGTCCTTATCCAGGAACCAACTGGTTTCACCTGACAATGTGTCCACAGTATGTAAGACAAAGTCTCGCCATTCTTACTTCTAAGGAGCACTCTGGCCAGACTTCTTCCAAAAGAGATTCGTTTGTTTTAACAGTCCATGACACTTTTAATATTCTTCTCCTACAGCATAAATAAAATGCATAAATTCTTCTTCTGTATTCTTTATTCAATGTCCAACTTTCAAATATATAAGAGGTGGTGGAAAATACCATGGTTTGGGTCGTATGTACCTTAGTTCTCAAGTAACATCCTTGCTTTTCAATTTTCTAAAGAGGTCTTGTGTCACAGATTTACCTAATACAACACATCTTTTGACCTCTACACACACACACACACACACACACACACAAATATCTTTCTCATTGGTAGTATACATATACATATGTGTATATATATCATTGAAAAGGATATATATATATATATATCATCCTTATTGGTTATATATATAACCCATGGAGTCCTGGTAGTGTAGTGGTTACAAGTCGTGCTGTAAACCTCAAGGGTAGTATTTATAACCCACCAGCTCCTCTGAGGGAGAAAGACAAAGTTTCCTAATCTCCTAAATAGTTACTGTCTCAGAAACCCACAGGGGTAGTTTTACCCTGTCCTATAGGATTGCTATGAGTTGGAATAAACTTGATGGTAGTGAATTCAGTTTTGTATACTCATATCAGACAAATAATTTGTGCATAGAATATATTTATACACTTCACTATTTTCTTGCTTAAAAATAATTTACCAAGTGATTTTCAATTGGATTTAGATATATCCAGATCAGTTGGCAGGTAATAAATATTGTTTTTCTTGATTCATTTTCAAAATAAATCAGTAAGATAACAACTTATCGTTCAACTATCATTGAAAATAATTAAAAGTGATGTAAATATCTCTCATATAAAATTTCTGTAGATTATGGTTTAACAATTTTTTAAAAAATAAACAAACATTTCCAAATATAAGCACCCCCACGGAGGGTAAACATAAAAGATTTATTTAAATAAAAGAATAGTGAATTAGCAGTAGGATCAAATTTTCATTAAAGAATAGTAGTTCTAAGTATGTTGAAACTTATCACAAATATTTATAAATATAGGATGGTGAGATGAGGCAAAGAACTCTAATGGAGGGGAGAAAGAATGAAAGAAATGAAATGAAACAAAATTCTATTTTATGAGAAAGAAAAGCTTGAATAGAGATACATATGGATATCACAGAAATGGAAAGGAGAAAAGGGGAGATGTTTAAAGCTACATATAGGTAATCTACATTATTTCAGGATTCACATTGCATGTCCTTTCTTTACTGCAACAATCCATTCATTCATTCATTTGAAATTGAGGCAATCCTGTGCATCATATTTATAAAGGCTTTTTTCACTTGTTGATTTCTTAGAGTGTAGATGAAAGGGTTCAAAAGTGGGGCGACGGAGGTATTGAGCACTGAAATTCCCTTGGAAAATGACACATTCTCCTTGACTGAGGGCTTAACATACATGAAGATGCAACTGCCATATGAGATAGAGATCACAATCATGTGAGAAGAACATGTCGAAAACGCCTTTTTCCTCTGACTAGTTGAAGGAATTTTGAAAATCGTACGGGCAATGTAGGCATATGATATTAACACCATTACCAACGTGACCAAGAGTGTCACTAAAGCCAGGATGAAAGCCATTGTCTCAAGGAGCCGCGTGTCTGTGCAGGAGATCTGCAGGAGGGGAGTCGTGTCACAGTAAAAATGATCAATGATGTTGGAGGCACAGAAGTCAAGGTCAAGACCCATGACGAGTGGTGGAAAGATAACAAGGAACCCAGCAAGCCAACAGCTGAGGACAAGCTGTGTGCAAATTTTGCTGTTCATGATGGTTGTATAATGTAAGGGCTTGCAGATGGCCACATAGCGGTCATAAGACATAGCTGCCAGTAGGTAAAATTCAGATGCTCCCAGAAGGAAGGCAAAAAACAATTGAGCAGCACAGCAGTTATAGGAAATAGTGTTGTCTCCAGTTGCCATGCTAGCCAGCAGTTTAGGGATGCATGTAGTTGTATAAGAAATTTCAAGGAGAGAAAAATTCCGAAGGAAAAAGTACATGGGGGTCTTGAGGTGAGCATCTAGCAGAGTGAGTGTGATGATGATCAGATTGCCAGTGATGCTGAGCATGTAGGTGAGAAGCAAGAAAATAAATAAAACAATTTTCAATTGTGGGTCATCAGTCAAACCTGTCAGGACAAACATGATCACTTTTGTATGGTTTCCCATTACAGTCCTCTGACTTTTATCAGCTCTGAAGAGGAAAGAAAGGAAAAGAGAGAGAGAAACAACAATAACAACAACTATTGAAACAACGCTGACCCCAAGAAAGAACTAAGGCCATAACTAGTCTTTATGTGAAAGTCAGCAAAGCAATATTTCAGATAGAATGATAGTCAATAGTTTTTACAAATGGTGATGCTGGCAAGAAAAATAATTTTTGTATCCAAAGTACCTGAACATAGTATCAAATTATGTTCTGATTCTATCAGGTGGTATAGTCGTTAAGCGGTGGGCTGTGATCACAAGGTCCGTGCTTTGAAGCCACCAACGGCTGCTGGGCGAAAAGACAGAGCTTTCCCCTCATATGAAGAGTTATGGTGTTGGAATCTCACGGAGGCAATTCTACCCTGTCCTGTAGGGTCACTATGGATTGGCAAGGCTCGATGGCAGTGAGTTGTTTGTTTGTTTTTTAATCAGATAAGAATTTGTGTGATTATAAACATTTTATGAGCATAGTGGTCCTTATAAAGCATGGGAGAAACGTTTTTATTTCTTGAAAAAATGTATGAATTGGTATGACATGACATTTTCTGATCAATTAATGAAATTTCCATACAGAAGACAAAATTATACCTGTCACTAAAATTGTATCAGGCAAAATTTTCATTTAAACACACACACACACACACACACACAAAGTCCTAATATTAATGAAGGCTAGCACACATGTACCATTTTACTCAACTAATCAACATCAAGTGTTTGATTATTGTTTCATTACTTTCAAGGCTAATTACATTCTACTTTGTTATTCTTCAATGTTGTTAAGACTATTCCAAATAACTGAAACTACATATGATGGGGTAAAACTAAACTATTGGGTTTTCTTGGCTATAATCTTTATGGGAACAAATGGCCAGCATTTTCTTTCCTAGGAGCCTCTGGTGAACTCAAACCACCACCCTTTCTTCCTGCAGCAAAATGCTCAACAATCTCCCCCAGGACTCTCAGCCTGATTTTAGAATAATGAATATAAGGCTTGGGCTTCTTTTATTTGCTCTTCTGTTCGTTTGATCCTTTCATCTCTGTGTCTTTTACCACCCTCTTCACATCCTCCCTCAGCACAAAATCAGCAGGAGTAATTCTCCAGTGTTGGTGTGGATGCCAAGGAAAAAGAAAGTGCTTATGAACTGGTATGATGAGCAAAAAAGAACAGAAAGAAAACAAAAACGCTGTATAGAACGTGAGAGGACTAAAGCTTTTTAATAGAGCAATGAGCTCAAGAGGAATAACAAATGTATTATTAGAACTATGCAAAATAACAAGTATAAACTGACAAGGAGGAGACTTTTTAGAACTCTATTGTCTCTACTTGCTACTGTTCCTTACACTTACCTTCATGATCTTCATCCACAGTACAGACTGAGCAAGTGAACGAATTGGATTACCATGACCTAAAAGAGAAGACACAGTAATTGGTAAAATTTAAAGTCATGGTGAATCTCTGAGATAAGTGCTAAGACAAATTTTAGTAGAAATCTATTTCCCTGCTATAATCAGAATGTTCAAATGTCCAATTAGTGGGTAATTAAACTAGTATTTACAGCAACTACTCTTACCACCTGACATATATTGAGTCACAGTGAGGTTAAGAAACAAAATTATTCAGCTTAAAGCAGCTAGTAAATTTGAGAGTAGGGGCTGAGATTCAATACATTGTTTTGTTGAAATTAAAAAGTTTAGTACAAGCAATTATAGGTCAAAGTATAGTGGTTTTTCTCAACAACAACAACAAAAAATTAATGGTATTTCTAAGGAAAATTCCCTTCCTATGTATCTTCATCACAAAACACATTAACTCTATAACATAAAGTCACAAAAGAACACATAAATGTCTTTACTATAATTCAGAGGAGGATACAGGAGAAAAAGCTGGATTCTAAGGTCACAGAGAAAGATGAAGACATAAGGCAAAATATTCAAGGTCTTCCTTGGGAAAAAGCCCCTGAAGGGAAACAGCTAAGTAACTAATCCAGAGTCACCACGTCGATTCTGAGGCTGAGTGAAAAGGCACATGAATTATTTTGTAAGAAACAACAATTAGAGTTCTGCTATCAAAGTATGTGTTTTAATAATGTAGCTATGGTAGTGTCAAGAAATTACTTATTTTTTCTGAATATTTTTTGCATATGCAGGCATTTATAAAGCAATCTATTATAATATTTTTCCCATTGATACAAATTATCTCAAGAACACACATATGTGGTGGTACAAGTTGGCCTGGTAACCAAAGGCTGCAGTTTAAACCCACCCATCACTCCCTGGGAGAGAGAGGAGCTCATCTGCTGCCACAGAGATTGACAGCCTGGAGAGCCATATCAAGGGTCACGAGGAGCCAGACCTGACTACGGTGGTAGGTAAGGTTAGGTACATCTAATACACCTAAATCAGAGTTTGATCATGTTAAATAATGACTTTGTCCAATTTCAATAATCATATACACTAAGTCTCACATATAAGATATTCATATCATGAAACCATCATATTGTAAAACCCAAAATTATCAGACTTATGTTGTTAACTTTGTTAGATATTATGAACACTTAATGAGTTTTAAAACTTAAAATTATTTCAATGCTGTTACCATAGCATGTCATCTACCATTTTTCCATATTAAAACTGAAATGTTGAAAGGAAAAATATTTAACACTTGCATGATTAAAATAATAAACAGAAGTGGGTTAGAAATGTATATAGCAGAAATATCTTGATGTTTCAGAAACATTTACGTTTTCGTGTTTTGAGTAATCAATTAATCTGTCAAATAGATTTAAAATACCAAGAAGTTTTCTTTCAGATGGCCTACGCACACACATTTTCAGAGACAAAATCATCTGTACTGTGATACTTACCTCTTCGGTCATTGTGATGAACAGAACAGCTGCCCATTCATTAGCTTTATTTATCTCTGCAGGGATCTCCCCATACCACAATACTTAATTTTTTATTTTATTATTCTTGTTTATTACCTTAATCTGGTAATCTTGAAAATGTTTTCTCAGTGATTTCACTGTAGATGTTTGAGATAGTGTTAAAATTTACTTATTTATATATGGACTACTTCTCTAATATCACCCACAGTGATATGTAAATGTTAATCAACTCTTGAATCCATGGAGTATTCATGTTCTCTGTGCCATGAAGGAAAATATCTGAAGATTATGATGAATTCTCAAGGGTAGCTGAGATCCAAGGATGCAAATTCTCACTAGACTACCAATTTGTGTGGAATAAAAATGCTCTTTGCAAGCATTAACCATTTCAGATGTGTGTATGTGTTTACCCTTCTTTAAATTTAGCTCTAGATCATTCAGTATAGATTGCTCCCATATGTCTGCCTTCTGACACCAGGTTTTGAAATCCCACAGACATTGATATTAATTTGGGAGCAAAAGGAAGCAACATTATTTTAGATTGGAATATAAAACAACCTAACATATTTGAAACTGGGAGTGCCTGCTGAGGAAAATCATAACGAGGAGCTTTCTAAATTGCTTTTCAGGTTTCATTGTTCGTTTATAAAGTACAAATTGAAAGTGGGGTTAGTTCATTTCCATGGTACACATGTTACTTATATCATGTTAGACAAAAGCATGACTTTATTATGGTCTTTGTTTCATAACTCTGTGTGTTTAAAGAGTTATGGACAGGTGTCAAGTTGTCCAGGAGTGGTCTCTGGTGGCTCATGATCATACTGGCTAGACCATCCTCAGCAAGGGTAGAGATGGAGCCCAGCCTATCAAGGGAGTCTCAGCCTGATGGCACCTCCTTGGACATGTAGCCTTTCTTTGTATAACAGAAAGGACCCAAGCAGAGTCTCAGTAGCTTTAGCCTTTAACTTTGTACTGGTGCTTTTTTAAAAAAAAATCATTTTATTGGGGGCTCATACAACTCTTATCACAATCCATACATCCATTCATTGTGTCAAGCACATTTGTACATTGGTTGCCCTCATCATTTTCAAAACATTTGCTTTCTACCTGAGCCCTTGGTATCAGCTCCTCATTTTCCCCCTCCCTCCCCACCACCCCCTCCTTCATGAAACCTTGGTAATTTATAAATTATGATTATTTTTTCATGTCTTACACAGTCCGACTTCTCCCTTCACCCACTTTTCTGTTGTCCATCCCCCAGGGAGGGCGTTATATGTAGATCCTTGTAATCAGTTCCCCCTTTCTACCCCACCTTCACTCCACCCTACTGGTATCACCACTCTCAGCTCTGGTCCTGAGGGGTTCATCTGTCCTGGATTCCCTGTGTTTCCAGTTCCTATCTGTACCAGATTTGTGACCGGAGGAAGTACACTGGTACAGATAGGAACCGGAACTTATCTTTATCAGATTCCTTAATCTCCTGCTGTGTTGCCTGCCAATCCCAGGAGTTGAGAGTGGACCACCAATAGTGGATTCATTCAGTTGACTGTAGGTATATATTACTTCTGCATTAACCAGGCTGGACCTCCTCCATGTTGCTCTGCTTTCTTTTAATCAGTTTCTACAAGTCACAAGATGCCTGACTTGAACCAGACTGAATTTACATATATCTCAACTGTGTAAGCCATTTCTTGATATAAATCTCTGTTAGTCCGGGTTGACTAGAGAAACAAATCCATCGACACTCATATGTGTATAAGAAAGAGTTTTATATAAAAGAGCAATTGCATATTGAGAAAACATCCCAACCCAGTCCAGATCAAGTCTATAAGTCCAATAATTGTCCATATGTCCAATACCAATCCATAAAGTCCTCTTCAGACTCATGAAACACATGCAATGACATTGAATGCAGGAAAATCACAGGCCATTGGGTGGAAAGTCTTGTGGATCCAGTGGCAGTGTAAGCATCTCAGCTCTGGCTCCTTCAGCTCCAGGGCATGAGCATAGTTCTGTGTGTCTTGTCAGCAGAAATGTCTCCCAGGGAGTGAGCTTGTGTCCTGCCTCCAGTGAGCTATTTATCTCCTCAGTGCCGCCAAATGAGGTCATCAAGCTGCTACCTTACTGACACCCCAAGCTGCTACCTTCCTCCTCTCTTAATAGTCTCAAACTGACAACAGATTATGTAAGTTCCACAATCTCTTTCTATATACAAACCTATCCAATTGTCACTAATTTTGCTTCTCTGAAGAGCCTAGTCTAATACAATGAGGCAGACATCATTGTTTATTGTATTCTAATTTTCTACGCCATCAGCATGTGTCCTATTTCTGGATGTTATTATTATCTCTGTCTGGTGATTATGTATGGTTAAAAGGGTTATATACAGGTGTCAAGTTGACAATATGTGGTCTGTGATGGTTAATGTCTGAGACAATAGAAATGTTGTCTATAAACTATAAACCACTTGCTATTGGCAGAATTCTGATTCATGACATCCCTATTTACCAGTATATCAGATTAGAACAACATTCTATAGGATACTCAAAGACTCTTTTTAATTTTTTTTTAAAGTAGGATCTGTAGTGGCCTAATGGGTTATCCATTGGGCTGCTAAAAGCAAGGTCAGTTGTTTGAATCTACCAGCTAGTATGAAGGAGAAAGGTGGAACTTTTACTCCTGTAAGAAACTTAGTCTTGAAAACCCACTGGAGAAATTCTACTCTGTTCTATAGAGTCGCTATGAATCAGAATCAACTCAATGCCCATGAGTTTGCTCTGAGTTTTTTGTTTTCATTTTTTTAATGGAGATGCCCAGGCCTTTCCTCTGTAGTGTCTCTAAGTGAAATCTAACATCCAACCTTTCAATTAGCCACTAACCTTTTGAACCAACATGATACTTTAACGTTAACAAAATTAAACTAAAACATACTAGGCTCACTTATGGTTAGTCTGTCACTTCAATGGGTTAGATAATATGTCTAATCTGGAACTGTTCTTACGTGAAAGCGTCATCTAGATGGAATCTTGAATATTCAAAATATGTATGTGTAAACATTTCACCATTGTGTAATGATTTTTTACTTTTTCACCATTTCTGTCATGACTATTGTCTAGGAAGTATCCTGGCAGAGATGACTCCTTTCTGAGAACAGCTATTGCCAATTAACAAGCTGCCTGACCTAAGTGATGGATCAAGAAATGAAGCGGATTTTATTGGTCCCTTGTGCAGTAGTTTTAATGGCCAGAGATGCAATGTTATCAAAGTACAAATGGTCAGAAGGACTGAACATAGCACATACATTAGTTTCAAGGGCCATAATAATGTGGCCGGAGTCGTCTGATGAGTAAGCTGAAAATTCTTCAACAGTGGTAAGGTTCTGCCTGAGCACTAAGAGGTGGGGGATTAGATCTTCCTTTGTAATCAATGTTTCAGGTTCCAGTGGGAGCAACTTCTTGCAACATGGCTTCCTTTATTGAAATCAGAAAAATCCTGTCTACTTTTGATTCTGTATTACAGGCACTGACAATGAACAGTTAGCTCCTATGGGTTCCCTCAGCTTCACTGTCAAACCATTGCCGAACCAAAGTCCATGCATTTAAGGAGACTTTTGAATTGGGGGCTCCAAAGTTAGTAGCATGGCTTCAGACCATGTAGTGAAAGACAATTTCTTAAAGAGATAGCTGTCTTTTTT